CTCCTCCATCTTATGGAGCCAAACAAACATGACCTTAGATTACTACTACTATGTTTTAGGCTTAAACTAAACTACTCACCTAATTCGTGTTAATGTAGACCAACCCAACTGTTGTAGTGGCCAGAATATTCATATCATGCCATTGCCATCTGGCAGGATATGCTTTCCATGGCCAAAATTTCTGCACTACATTCAATGGACATAGTAATTCACATATACCAATTCAAGTTGAATTGTCATTCATATAAAAAACATAAAAAAATAAATAAAAAATTCAACTGTGATTAAGAACTCATAATAAAATATGAAATTCTTATGAGGAAGAGACAAATGGATCAAATCAAACCAAGCAGGCATAGCATAAGAACTTGAAAGGAAACAGCTAGGGATTGAGATTTATACTTGCTCTCCAAGCTAAATTCACTACCACACAAAAAACTCACTGTTTTCTTCTTTTTTCTGTGACTATAAATAAATTAAAATCTTAATTAAAATCTCATATCAATCATCACCTATAAGTTATTTAAAAGTGCCCATTCTTTCTTGTTTGCTCTGCCATTTTTGAGTTTTAAGTGCCAAAGCCAATGACTCTATTCTCAGCTATTTTCAGTTTCTGCAAGCAGTCATCGTCGACACGGGTCTCTGATGAGGCCGGCAGCAATAAACTGAAGGTGGCTTCCGCAAGGAAATCGGAAACCAAATCATCATCGAAATCTTCTGGAGTTTCGATTATAGTGTCACACTTCCCCATTAGCTTGCAGCCCTCTCGCTTTTAATGACTGGAGTAGAAGCAGCAAAGCGAATCAGTTCAAAGTGGTATGGATATGCAAAGCAATTGTTTCGACTCTTTCACGCACAATAATGTTACGTGCACAGAAATATTAATGTGTGGTGGCATATATTCAATTCTGGGTGCGGTGGTGAAAACACTCAAAATAAATTTAGACGACACATCAATTTTGCTGCGTTTGTGATCTGTTTGCATGTTAGTAGCATAATTTTTTTGGGTATAGCAGTTTGGGTGTAGCCCAACATAGAGGGTTGGGTTTACAGGCAAAATTTCAAATGTTATTTCAGAATTGAAGTTGCTGAGACAGTACAACAGTCTTGGATTTGTTCACTGAATGTCAATGAAGTTTTTTAGCTTAGTGGGTTTATATTATATAATGAAGGCTGCAAAAATTTCATTGTAAAAGAAGAGAAATAAAAGAATGAACACTACAAAAAATTTGACTTTTTGCGACGGCAAAATGCCGTCGCAAATACTCAAAATGCCGTCTCAAATACTTTTTTGCAACGGCAGCTGACCTTTAGCGACGGCAAGTGGGGGGTCGCAACAAAGAGCGTTGCTAAAAGGTTTTAGTGACGGCACAATGCCGTCGCCTTTTTTTGCGACGGAATGCTGCTGTCGGCATTACTATGTAAAAAATCTGAGATTTTTTGAGACGATACTATGTTGCCGTCGCTAAAAGTGTTATTTGTGATGGCAAAATGCCGTTGCGAAAGTGTTTTATTGCAACAGGTAACCTGCCGTCGCTAAAAGTTTATTTGAGACAGCATGACAACGCCGTCTCTAAAAGGTTATTTGCGACGACAAATAATACCGTCACGAAAGGTTTTTTCAATCGTTGCCAACATCCTTTGCGACAGCATTGCTTATGTCGCAAAAACAATTTGGTTCTAATGTTTTTTGAGATGGTGTGGTGCCGTGTCAAAAAAAAAAAAATTAAAAATATGAAAATTACCTGTATTAAATGAAAAATAACTAAAAATAAACCGATAATTACATAATAGTATAAAAATTTCAGTAGAAAAATAACAATTCATCCATAATAAAAATATTCTTCAATTCATAACAATACATCAGCAAAATTATCCCACTACATAATGTTGCATAATACATATACAATGTTTAAATACATACAATTCAAAATAACGTAAATCAAAAACAAAAGTTTTCATCATGATTCTTCCGTGGATAACAAAAATAAAAATGAATTGCAATCTTCATACGCCTGCATTCCACAAGAAGCAAACTGCCACTGGGGAAATATCTGAAAATGAAAAATAAAAGTAATTAATGACAATATAATTATGGGTTAATTTCTTTAAATATAATTATGTGTTAATTTCTGTGGTGTGGGGAAGAACTGAAAATTGGCATTTTTATTTTCTTTAAATACATAATTGGTTATTAACAATTTCACATCATCTTCCCCATTTGCACTCCTATAATAGGTGGATTTCCCTAAAAGAGGTCCACTAGGGTATGAAAATATAAAATAAGAAAGACATCCAGTAAATTCAAGAAAAAAACATACAAGAAAGATACTATGTACAGAGTTGTAGTTGATCCTACCTTGGGTAGAGGAACCTCCCATTTTCCAGCTTTATATTTTCTTTTTTGCTTTACAGTGTTGCTAAGAACCTACAGACAGCATTATATGATAATCAGTAATGGTACATGGCCAACATATATTTACACTTAACATCCATAAAATGGAGAACTGTATAAAAAGTATTATCACCTTTGCCCGTGTCGTCGTTTCACGATCAAGCAGATAGGCAGGAATAGCTCCTTCCTGAACATCATCATCCACCTTTCACCTGGATGATTGATTTGTAGGAGATCAACCCAAGTTGAGTTGGCTACAGAGATTCTGGCCATGTGAAGGAAAGTAGCAGCCAGCTACATGGTGGGGAAGCCATGTGAGTTGGCCATGAGGCCATGAAGCAATCTGGAAAGCCACCGAAATGGGCTGGCAGCCAGCTCATTTCAAAGGGTGCCTCTTGCCTTTGTAATCTCTATATATAGAGAAGTGATGGTGAGTTGAATCAGACGGCAAACATAGCAAGCAAGACACACTGCTGAGAGAGAGGCACAAAACAGAGAGAGCTAGTGAGAGCTATATTCTGTTTGTGTATCAGAGAGTGTGAGAGAGTGTGTTATATAGAGAGACAGTGAGTTGAGAGTGTGTAATCTCCTCCATTTGTTGATATATAACAACATCGCTCCCGTGGACGTAGGCCGGTTTGCCGAACCACGTTAAAACTCTTGTGTTTTTGCTTGTGAGTGTCCCCTGGTGTGCCCACGATCCGCAACAATTGGTATCAGAGCCCGGGTGGAGAAAAATCGAGTTTTTTCCGAAAGTGTCCAGATTTCGAAGTGGTCGAAATCCACTTTTGAGCATACCAGGAGGAAGGTCAGGAGGAGAGGAGTCCAGAACAGCAAAAATAGAGCCCAGAAGACTCAGCACGCGCTCTCACGCGCTCTCTGAAAAACGCGCGTGAGTCCCAGTCTCTGCACGCGCTACCACGCGCCGTGAGGACAGCCGGCGCGTCAGCCCAGTCTCACGCACGCGCTCCACGCGCAGCTGAAGAAAGAAGACGAGTGGGGAAGGCGCATGTACGACACGCGCAGGCCGCGTCAGCGTGCCACGTCGGTAACACGTGGCGACACGTCAGCAAAGGGTGCCACGTGTCCTGCCCAGTCAGCCTGAGCCGCTGACCAAGCCGAGTTGACCAGCCGTCAGCCGCGTTGACCACGCCGCCGATCCTCCGTTGACCGCGCCGCCTGCGCCGTTGACCGAGCCGTTGACCGGAGAAATTATCCGGTGCATCTCAGCGCACCAGATTCAGCAGATCTGAACCGTTGAAACTGTTTTGGCTAGATCTAGGCCATTCGGAGTCCGTTTTTGGCGATCCAATAGTGAGTTCCAACTATTTGGAGTATTCCGGACACATCCGTACGGTTAGTTTTTGAATCGGAGGCATTCAAACTCTTTTGCCTAGATCTAGGCCATTCAGAGTCCGTTTTTGGCGATCCAATAGTGCGTTCCAACTATTTGGAATATTCCGGACCCATCCGTACGGTCAGATTCTTAAATTGAAATTTCTTTAAAAAGGGAAGAAATTTACAATGGCAGGAAAAGGCGCAAGTTTCATGATTGAGCCTTTTAATGGCAGTAATGACTTTACCCTGTGGCAGCAAAGGGTGAAAAACATTTTAACACGAGAAGGTCTGGTGAAGGCTCTTCTCAAAAAATCCAACAAACCGGAAGACATGAAGGATGACAAGTGGGAGGAGTTGAGAGAATTGGCAAACAGTACAATTCAGTTGTATCTCGGGAACAACACACTCCGGAAAGTCATCAGTGAAGTAGATCCGGCGGAGCTATGGGCAAAGTTAGAGATGAGGTACAAGTCAAAGTCTTTGACAAACCGGTTATCTCTGAAGAGGCAGCTATATACACTTAGAATGCCAGAAGGTGCGAACCTCACAGAATATCTGGACGAGTTCAATAGGATCATAATGGAATTGGACACCATTGGAGACAAGACCCAGGAGGAAGATAGGGCTATGATCTTATTGGTCTCTCTACCTGCATCATATGAGCATCTCAGGACAACTCTATTGTACGAGAATGATGCTCTTGGACTGGATGAGGTGATTGCTACGCTCATTTCTCATGAGTCGATGAAGAAACAGGAAGGTAGCAGTAGCAAACACCCAGAAGAAAATGCCATGGTTGCCTCAGAAATGAGCAAGGCAGAGGTAGGTCCAATGATAGACGGGGTAGATCCAAATCAAGAGGACGTTCGCAATCAAGGTTAGGCTTCAGGAGAAAGTGTTATTATTGTGATCAGGAGGATCACCTCATAAAAGACCGTGCAAAGCTCAAGGAGGACAAGGCACACAAAGAACAGGCGAGCTCATCAAATGTCGCTGCTGCAGTAAATGCTAAGGATGAGTATGCATTTACAGTTTCGTCGAGTATGACGAAACCTGACTGGATCTTAGATTCCGGAAGCACATATCATATATGCATGGATAAGAAACTTTTTTCTACCTACCAAGCCAAGGATGGAGGTATTGTTCGAGTGGCTAACAACACTGTGAGTAAGATTGTTGGCATGGGAACAGTACGGCTGAGAATGGAAGATGGAAAAATTTTCACGTTGGATGGAGTCCGATACGTGCCAAGACTGAAGAAGAATCTAATTTCCTTAAGTATGCTAGACATGAAGGGTTATAGCTTCACATCTAGCAAAGGAAATCTCAAAGTCATCCATGGAGATACGGTAATGCTACATGGACGACTGGAGGGGAATCTGTACAGGCTTGTGGAGAAGGTTGTGACAGACGGAGCTACTGTCACTTACCGGGCAAGACGTACAAGACATGCACAGAAGAGACATAGGGCCCAGCAGACATGGCAACCAAAGTGTACAAGAACGCATGGAGGCAGTTCGGAGGTGCACAAGACGGAGCCATTGCGGCCAATTTTAAAGACAGCTCAGAGCAAAGAGACCAAGACAGCAAAGCATGTCCCAGGGAAGAAAGTTTCTTTTGCTCCTGAATTAGAGACATATTGGAATCTCTCCAAGACTGGATGGAAGGGAGAGATGCCATCTCAAAGAGTTGCAAAGTAAGCTTTGCATGGCACCCCAGTGAGGTGGTGCCGGGCACTCCAGGCAGGAGGTGCTATTATGGATCACCTCATATGGGTTGAGGGGGTGATTTGTAGGAGATCAACCCAAGTTGAGTTGGCTACAGAGATTCTGGCCATGTGAAGGAAAGTAGCAGCCAGCTACATGGTGGGGAAGCCATGTGAGTTGGCCATGAGGCCATGAGGCCATGAAGCAATCTGGAAAGCCACCGAAATGGGCTGGCAGCCAGCTCATTTCAAAGGGTGCCTCTTGCCTTTGTAATCTCTATATATAGAGAAGCTAAGGAGAGTTGAATATAGGGCATCATAGCAAATCAGAGAGTGTGAGAGAGTGTGTTATATAGAGAGACAGTGAGTTGAGAGTGTGTAATCTCCTCCATTTGTTGATATATAACAACATCGCTCCCGTGGACGTAGGCCGGTTTGCCGAACCACGTTAAAAGTCTTGTGTTTTTGCTTGTGAGTGTCCCCTGGTGTGCCCAAGATCCGCAACAGTTTCATCCAAATAACTGTCAATTTTTTGTGTGTACAGACTAATGCCCGTAACAGAATGTTAAATTTAACATTTAATTTGAATGGAATGGTAGATTAGAGTAAAATAATAAAGATTAGAGTAAAATTTGAGTACCCATGGTTAATTTATAATTAGACCTTTTAGCTTAAGCCATCTCCATCCCTTGCTCAAATTTGAGGGAAAATCTATACTATCTTTACTAGTTCTTGATACTTGGCCTTACTGCAAAGCAAAGTTGGTTTGGGATGCTGTGGTCTGGAGGTTCCGAAGATGCTTGGCAGGGTGGAAAAGACAACACTTATCTAGAGGGGTGAGGTTGACCTTGATCAAGATTACTCTTGCGAGTCTTATGTCTTTGTCCTCTGTCCCTGCCTTGGTTGTGAAGAGGTTGGAAAAGTTACAACGTGATTTTCTGTTGTTGAGGAGAGGGGTAGGGGAAGAGTTTGAGCAACCGTAGGGTGGATTGGGATATGGTTTGCTTTTCAGTAAGGTTGTGTTTGATTCATGGATTTAGGAAGGGAAAAAGAAAGGAAAAAACTGTGGGAAAATGTAAATTTATTTTATTCACATTTCACTGTCTCTTTCCCTTTTCCTTTCCAAATTTCTCTTCAAATCCTTAAACCAAACATAGCCCAAAGATGGGAGGTTTTTTGGGTATATCTACCGGTTAGCCATCTTTAATCAAGTTTTGTTGAGGAAATGGTTGTGGAGGTTTTCTTGTCAAAGAGGGGAAATATTAGAGGAGGGTGGTGGCCCACGAAGCATGGATATAGATACAAGATACAGATACGACGATATGATAAAATCTAAAAAATTAATATATGGGTACAATTAAGATACACTTGTAAAAAATAAAATAAATAAATAAATAATTAATTAAAAAACTTATTAGTAGTCAATTATACATGAGCTCAAGAATGTTAAGAAACCATACTGTAATTATTTAATGCAAAATACTAATTTTTAAGAATTAAGTATTAATTTAAGTTGGTAGCTAGTTTATTACTTCTTTTTATTTTTAATAAGTCTTAAAAATATTTTACTTTAATATCAAGCTTAATATGTTTATATTCCAATAATAGAACAACTATATTTAATTTGATTTTACTTTTTTAATTCTTACTTTCTATGTAGTTATACAATAATGACAAGTAAATTTGACAAATTATATTAGTTTAATTCATTATATTCTTCTTATCAAAGAACTAAGCAAAGTATTGAAAAAATATTCTTATATCTATCCACGTAATTTTATTATATTATAATGCTATGCAAGAAATGCGACAATTTTAATTTTATAAAGGTAATACATGACTGATTGTTTGTGGTGTCCTAAATAAGTGTATTTTTTGAATTTTTGGACTAAAAAGTTGAGGAAAAAAATATGGTTATTTGAGTTAACTTTTTGATTTTTTATGAAAAAATCTGTATTAAAATATTGTATAAATTAGCAAAATTACAATTTTACCCATATAAATCCGCGTGTATGTCAGTACGGATCTGTGTGTACAGGAAAAAGTTGAAATTTTTTTTGGAAAATGAGTGGGAGCACTAATTAGTGCTACCACTAATGATGTAGCAGTAGGCCCCATCATGAATGATTTGATGTTTTGGCCTTGGTGTCGTATTTTTTTTCTTTTTTTATTGAGTGT